GCCGCAGGGATGTGGAAGTCCACCGCGTAGCCGAAGTAGCTGCCCTCCGGGCCGCTGTACACCGTCAGCTTGTCCTCGTCCAAGTTGAACGCCTGGGAGCTGGGGGACCACAGCATCCCCAGGGCATTCACTATTGCACCAAAAAGGCCACTGAAAGGGTTTTTGCTTCCTGTCCTGTGACCTTGGATTCAATGTGTTCAGAGGTCCTAGTGGTCAAGGGAGAAATGCAAACACCAGGGCACATAGTCATGGTTCCCATTAAACTGGAAGCTGAGACTGTCCCTTGACCACTTCAGGCTCCTTATACCACTGAACCAAGAGGCAGAGAAAGAGGTCCTTCCCAGCCCCTGCTGGCAGCCGGCGCCAGGCGCCTGTTTCGGCTCCTGGTTTTCTATTACAGTTGCATCTCAAGGACGACCTGAATCTTGTACGTGTCAGTGTAAGCCATTGCTTTTGGAAGGAATGCTCCCCTCGCAAGGCGAGAGTTTTCTCCAGTTTGTCCCAAAGAGAAGAAGGTGGAAACGTACCCCACCACGAGGCAAGAGAAAGCGCCCTCTTTGCATCACCTCTGCAGTCTGAAGACCCTCAGGGTGGATACATTTTTTTCTGCCTGTGACTGAGAAAATCTAAATCCAACAATCTTCTCCTCCCCCAACGCCACCCCAGCTCACTGCAGAGGAAACTAAGGAACAAAGAAAGTCTCGAGATTTTATTTAGAACTTTCTAGGGCGCGCCGGGCATGTTAAACGTCCTGGTACTAAGTCTTCGTGACCCTGTGTAACTGTGATGAAGACTGGCAAAGTTAAGAATGCTGGAATTTACAGTTTACCCTCAGCAAGAGTAGAAGGTAGAGGATGAAAGTGAAAGAGAGTCCAAGGGGAGTCTGAAGAATAATCAACAGTAATGAGTGGGCAAAAAGAGTAGGATGGGAGGTAAATGGTAAGCTCCTTGCTGGACTTGTTGAATCTGAGTTACTAGTGTGTGAGCCCCAGAGACTCTGGAAGCGTAAAAGGCAAAAATTGAGAACAGTGGTCAGTCTGGCGGAACAGATTTCTTCCCACAGAAACGCTCTGAGCCCACTGAAAAGCTGACTCTTTCATCTCTCTCACATCAAAACCTCTTGGTAGACAGAATTGAATTTTATTTCTTTGTCTATGCGTATCTCGTCCCTATAAACATAGTAAAATCTAATAAGCTATACTATTACCTGGCATATCACCAGGTCTGGATCATTTCCTAACTGGATAGTCCTTTCCCAGACAAGGATTTAAGAGGAGATGTACCCCAGCACGAGTCAATTCAAAAGTCCATTTGTGCGAGACATAGAGTCTGCTTCTCTAGTCAAGTTTTTATTGTTAATAAATGTGATAGTCCCTGTAGTAAGTTTCAATGAGTAATTCACATGCAACATTAGCATGGGGTGTTCAGAGCTGTGCAGGACATAGAGGCTCGGGAATAAACTCATAATTATCATGTCCTGACACTGGCATGTTGAAACTCATAAATTCGTTTATTACATGCAAGCCTTAGAAATGGAACATCTAAGTAGATAGAAAGTAATAGCATAGTCCTAGATGTGCACGTGGCCCAGGTACCGACTCTCTGGGCAGAGTAGCTATATATTAAACAGTGCTTCAGTTTGTATAGGGCAGCACATCACCAGGGTATCTGCTTCATTCCCCCCTTGTTCTGTGATATTCCTGTCATATTCCTTATCTTTTTATTTAAGCTGGTAGGTAGG